GTGTTTCTCCAGAAACACTTTATAAAAAGTTTCCAAATCTGTTATTATTCAGTACGAAGGCTTCACTGGATTCCTTATTAAAAGGAAATGTTAGTCACTGAGTTAGACTCCGTTTTTGTTTATTTATTTTGTGGAATTCACTTAAAATGAAAGGAAATATATATTGTTTATTTTTTTCTGTTTTTTTCCCCCACTTATTTGTATATTGTTCTTATCCCCTTTTCTCCATATTGTGCGTGTTTTGTTTTTCTGCATTACGTCATGGTGGGTTTTTGCTCTGTCATGTTATTTCTTTTTTTCTCTCTCTCTCTCTCTTTACATACACACACATACAGAGACACAGATTCCAGTGATCCTCAGTGATATTAATAACAAGAATGTCCATGCTGTCGTGCCGTGTGTTGTGTCTGTTGGCCATTGTGCTCTGCTGTGTGGGTGTGGCTCATGCTGCTGCTTCGAGTTACGAAGAACTTGTTAAGGAAGCACGAGAGAAGGTTAAGGAGACTTTGAGACTAAATGCGGAGTGTGCGAAAGCCACCAACGCTGCTACAGAGGCTGCGCATGCAGCTCAACTATTTGCTCTTGAAATTGGGAAGAAACTCGAAACAATTGCTGCAAACCCAGACGATGTGAACAAAACGAAGAGTAAAGGTCGTGAACTCATTGAAAAGGCAACGCAGGCGGCAGGTGAAGCAGAAAAGGTGCGCGACCAAACTACAGCCATTAAAACTGCAGCTGTAACCGCAGCAGTCCTTTTTGAAGACGTTTTCGTGGAGGCAGAGCAAGCAGCTGACAATGCAGAGAAAGCGGTACATGATGCTAACAATGCCATCGACAATGCGAAACTTCATGCTGAACGTGTGGAGAAGGTATTGAAGGACCTCGACGCCGAAGTTGTTGCCGCTGCTGAAAAGAAGAAGGAAAAACAGGTGGAGTCTCAGACACAGGAACAGACAAATGAAACATCTCTTGGTGAGCAGCGAGGCCATACAGAAGGAAATCAAGCGGATCAAAAACAAGAAAAACAAAAACAGCACTACCGTTCTACTGTTACTATTAATATCCGCGGAGATAATCTTGATGCCTTACTCAACGGTGCAGCGAATAACAGTGGTATGGCATTAAATGACGGCAGCAGCAGCCCTGCGTTACTGCGTGTTCCACTCCTGCTGCTGCTGCTTCTCTCTGTGCTGGGCTGCATGGCTGTGTGCTGAGCACTGTGGTGGAGTTCCTTCAAGAGAGTGTGGGTAATTACTTGTTTACTACTACTACTAATAATAATAATATAATTGCTACTGTTTTTTTGTACACTGAGCACCAAGAAAATTAATTCCGATGACACCTATTGGGCTAGGGTACATCACTTTTTTGTGTGGAAATACCTAATCTCTTTTCTTTTTTATACTTGTAAGCAGAGTATTGCTGTGCACCTTGTGGTGTGTCTCACTCTGCAATTGTGTGATTCTGGTAAATGATATCTCTTTTCTTTTTTATATGCTTTCACATTATGTGTGAATGGGGTAACATATAATTTGCTTGTTCCTATGGGACATTGCAAATTGTAATGGGGGCAGGGAGAAACCAACACAAAGAGAGATTTATACATTATCCGTTGTTATTGTTTTTGTGTGTGTGGCTATCTCTGCAATGTTACCAAATGATATTCAATTTGTTTATAATCTTTTCTTTTTTATTTGGGATTTTATGGGACTACATTTTCTTTGAATAATGGGTATTTTCCACTAATGTGTATGGTTCCTTTACATTATTGTTTGACTCCATGTGTTTATGTGTGTATGCGGTGTATTAATGTTTTTCTGTTTTCTTTTTCTCTTTCTTCTCTCTCTCTCTCTCTCTCTCTCTCTCTTTACACACATGCTCAGATTTCAGTGATCCTCAGTGATATTAATAACAAGAATGTCCATGTTGCCGTGCCGTGTGTTGTGTCTGTTGGCCATTGTGCTTTGCTGTGTGGGTGTGGCTCATGCTGCTGCTGCTTCGGGAGAAAACGTGGGACGATTTGATAATACTGAAGTACATGAGCAGGTGGAAAAGATCAAGAAACTGAAGGCGGAGTGCGAGGAAGTCGGCGAAGCTGCTCGGAATGCCGCGCATGAAGCTCAACGATTTGTTGATACCACTAAGAAAAACCTCAAAACAATTGCTGCTGTCCCAGAAGAGGTGGAGGAAACGAAGATTAAAGGTGATGAACTCTCTGAAAAGGCAATGAAGGCTGCAGAGAAAGCAGAAGAATTGGCCAAACGAACGAGAGAAAGTGCAACTCAAATTGAAGACATAGTCAGGTTACTTCAAGGAGAAGAAACGTTTGGTGCACGGGAAGCGATGATAGTGGCATACAAAGCGGCAGATGATGCTTTCAAACATGCCGAAGATGCGACAATTTGTGCTTATGATGTGAAGGATGTCCTGCAGAAACTCGAAGCCGCAGTTGCTGCTGCCGTAGAGAAGGAGGAAGAAAAACAGGTGGAGCCGCAGACACAGCCACAGGAACAGACAAATGAAACATCTCTTCTACCCACGAATGCTACAATAACGAATGGCACCAAACGAAATGACGGCAGCAGCAGCCCTGCGTTACTGCGTGTTCCACTCCTGCTGCTGCTGCT